GTGAGGTGGGACTGTGCCGCGCCGGGACCGCGGTAGCGGGAGGGCTCGGGCTAGTGGCCGCGCTCTGTTCACAGATGACTGTAATCTCTGAGTTAGGAAATTCATCTCCTAGGCTCGATTAAGCATGTACGTGGAACAATAATTGTGTTTCTTTCTGACTTCAAGATACTGAAGTGATGCAGTATCCTGAAGTAATGACACCATGTACGTTGGAAGGGAGTTCTGCCTTGCCTGTAGCTCTCTGCTGCCCGGAGACCTTGTCTGTTTTTAGAGTTTTTTTCTTTTAAAGGGCGTTTTGTTGGGGCCAGCAATACGTTCTCTCAAACTGCCGCGACAGCCCCGTGCTGACTCGCAGCCGGGGGGAGCTGGCCTGCAGCCCCGGGGCTCCCAGATGAAGGACTGCGGACTTGCAGCTTCCTGCACGTGGAAGGTAACAATTTCGAATGAGTTTCGGGTTCAGCTGCCCAAAGGTAGATCGCACACAGCAGCAAACCTGTTTTCCTTGAGAAGGTGTAAAGTAGTAGTTACACCTGCGGATATTTAGATGCTGCTCTATATTTAGGTCTCTTTGTAAAATAATTTGCATGGCTTTCTGACGTTATCTCTGATATAACACACTCTTTTGAGATATGTTCCAGTTTGTAGTGCAAAAATACATTGGTAGAACATTAGCTATTCTACACTGAAATAACGTGGGACTTACCTACGTATTTGATCTTGCTTCTGCAATAGGCTCCGCGAAGCTGGCTGTTTGTCACTGAAGTCAGTGTCTGTTTGAACACAAAGGCCCACCTTCTTTGGTTAATTTATAGAACAGTGTGATTTTTCTTCTACTTTGAGCGTACGCTATACTGATCAAACGTGTCAAAAGTAGACAAATTCACAAACTCTTATATTTTAAATTAGAGCATTGTCCCCTACATAATATTTGATTAAAATAACTTCATTGGGTTATCTGTACTGTATGGTTATGTTTTGTATGCAAGTCTGTAGCCTTTCTTTCTAGCTCTGTTATAGTTTTGCACATGCTCATTAGAAAGGCACTTTTTGCCATTGACTTAAAGGAGAAGTATTGTGTAAAATTTCATGTTAGCTTCCCTTTTTGAGAAAAGAAAAAAATAAAATCTTAAGAAATGTTTTGGAGACAGAATTGATAAACTTGTGGGGTTTTCTGAATGTCTTTGTTTAGCGTCTTGAAATGAGAAATTTCTTTGTTGAGCAAGAGGAACTCTTATGACATTTTAACACAATAGATTGTTCAGTAAGAAAGTACATGTTTTCAGTTACTTATTACTTGAACTGCTCAGGGAAGTAATTGACTTTGAAGTGCTATTGTATTAGATACCACACAACTAGTTCTGTTTCTGCCCTGTAGATGGGAGAGGTCTGGCCTTGCCTTTCCAGAGTTGGCTTCTCGCTACAAATTCTTCTCTCCTACCTATTCCCAAACCTTCACAGGTCAGTGCTGCATGGCTTCTAGTACCTTAAATTATGAGACTGTGGTGCTAAATTCAGAAAAGCTCGTAAAGATATCAACATAACATATACAGAAGACAACATGAGTAAGCACAGCAAGTACTGGGGAGATTCAGTACGTAACGGTGAAACCAAACTTTCTGTGCTCCTTGAACAGAGTATCAGCCTATGGACTGCTTTTTGTCTCAGAATTTGCAGTAGGTTATTATTAGCACCCTTGCAAAATTAATTGATATTGTACAGTATTTCAGAAATGAAAAATAGCCTGTTTTCTTCTACTTTCTTTTTTTTATTTTTCACAGCACAGGCTGACAGTTATATCATCAGAATTCCTGCATATGGCAAACTACAGATGGTAAGGAATTGTTTTATCATAAAGATAGCGCACAGTTTGGCAACACCATTTTGTAACATGGCTCTTTGACTGTGCCTAGGCTTCCCTGGGGGTTTGTGTACCTGAAGTGAAGTATACTGAGCTGTTTTCAGGATGTCACTAAGGTACCCAGCTATACAGAATTCTGTTCTGGCAGCAGCATCTGCAGTGTTCTCCTTTTAGTTTCCAGTTTCTATAAGCTCCCGAGCCACTGTGGAGAAAAGCACTTATTCACTTTCAGAACAAAATATGATCTCTGTGCTAACAGGTTGGAAACAGACAGGGGGCATTTCTGCAGGAGTAAACAGCTGTTTAACTGCAAATTACTCCCTGCAGATGCCAGTAAAGTTCTGGAAAATTCTTGGAAAAGTTTAAATTTCAGAGTAGCGTCCCAGCTACGCAGGAACTCCTTAAAGGTCAGAACTGCTCAAGGGATTTTGACAAGGTATCCCTCATGATTACTTTTTCATAAATCTGTAGGGTTTTGAAGAAAAATGTATTCCCCCTCTTCCCTCAACAACCTTTTCCTCTGGTGTGCATAAATAATTTATTATTCCCTGGTTGCTCTTGCATCAGTACTAACATTCCTGACGATTAAAAAACGTGATGTTACCAGAGGAAAAATACAGAAGCAACAACATTGTGAACTGAGTAAATGTTCACAATTTTGATGAGGAATGCAAGCAATCTGAAGGAAATACGTTGTTTTAAAACAACGTATAATACAGTCAAACCTCTGAGTAGTGTTCTCATGAGACAAAAAGGAAATACCTATATTGAAAAGAGATACCCCTCCCTGCAGTTTTTAATTTCCAGGTTTAAAATAGAAAGGTTTGAGCTTCTCAAAGAGCCTTATATATGTATAAAGGTTTTTGTTATGCATAGGAACAAAAACTACATATGCTGTTGGTCAATTTAACTGTGTTGCTGGTTCCTATCTACCGTACTTATATGGCTCCCATTAATACACTCTCCAGGTGCCTCATAGCCTAATGTAGTAATCCTTACAATACCTTTTTGTTAAAAGTAAAATGATGATTTAAAAATAATAATTTTAAATTTAAAATACTGTCATAATTAAATGTCTAACTGTTATCCCTATGCTGATCTTAAGCGTGTAATCCATTTAACTTGAATTAAAGGCATTTAAAAACAGTATTTGCTGTTATATTTTAAAAGGGCTTTTGATACAAATCATGACTGTTAAAGGTGAATTAGGTGAATAGGTCACTTCTCCTTCATTCTTTTCTGTCATAGGAAAAATCTGATCTGGTGCATGCTGAATCATCTAATACCCTAAATAAGGATATAGGCATACAGTGGTAATAAAAGGCAATGTCAGAGTAAACCAACCAAAAAACCTCAATGTGTTGGGGAAAATAGTCACAACATATACATACAAAATAAGATACAAAGTTTAAACTGTGCAATTTCTTGCATTCTGACATAGTCAGTCAATTCCGCTTACTCATTTTCTGCACTTGGTGATAAAATTGCCTAAACGATTTTCCCACAGTCGTGAACAAGAGTGGGGAGTGAAAACTCAGACCCAAGTCTTCAGATGCTTATGCGGCTGTCCTGACCAGTAGACTGTCACCTTTCTTCCCATTTAACAGAGGTTGTATGATAGATAGCTTATATCACGGAATAGAAAGGGCTGCTTTTCTGTTATTCTAGTATTTATGACTGTTCCCTCCAGAATGATAACACTGGAAAATTACTGCTAATGGCATTACCCTACTCAGAAGTCCGTAGATCTGCTATGCGTACACGTGGTAAATGTCTTCTAAGTATGCAAAGAAGTCACTTGATAAAGAGCTTATATGCATTTTGCATGACAATTGTTTTTCATGCCAGCTGGATTGTCTTTTCAGTAGTGATATGACAGCAGTGAACCAACCAGCAAACGGGGAGCGGAAAACATTTGGCTGGCTGCAGAATCTGGGTGCTTTATACACGTGCTTTGTAGACCCCACTAGTATGTTGACCATAAAAAAGGTAAAGACGCATTGAAGCGACAAAATTGATAACGATGCATTCAGCGTAGCTCATCCTAACGAGAGGCAGAAGGTTTTGGAAGAAACTTGCGTCGTTACCAAGGGGAGAATTTAAGCAGGCGCCGCGGCCCGGGCAGCGTCACCGCCGGCGGGTGACGTGTGCTGCTCCTGGGCGTGGCG